GGTTGCGGAGTTTGACTTGCCTTGCGGAATGTGCTGAGCCCGGCGAGAATACCACCACCGATCCAGGTGGTGTATTTCCGTTCTGCCGGTGCAGAGATGCGGATCTTCATGTCCTCCACGGCCAATCTCTTGATCTCGCGCATTAGCCGGTCAGGGAAGTTCTTGCAGAGTGTTGAGCCCCCTGAGAGGACGATGTTGAGGTATAGGGATTTCCGGAGATCGAGATCTGTGCGGGTGATGGCGTCTTGGACGATCTGATGAACGCCGGGGTATTCCAAGCCGATGAGTTCGGGCTCAAATAGGATCTCGGGGGCTCGGTAGCGCTCTTGTCCGATCTGTCCTGGCTGATTAGCTCGCGTTGCCGCAGAATTATAAAAAGAAGTCTGACCTTGATCTTGTGCCCATCAGGCAATATGTAGTCGACGGATTTCGCCTCCGACTTGTGGTAACTGTTCATCCAGTCCTTCTCCTCCCGCTTCGGATCCAACGACACGTAGCAGACCTTCTCCTTGATCATCCGCACCACCTCCTTCTCCGCACTCGTATGCAGCACATGCCCGTTCTTCCGCAGCAGCAGCTGCAACTGCTCCGTGACATCGCGCCCAGCAACATCAATCCGCCGTATACTATTGGGAATTGCGAACCCCTCAAACACAGGCACCGCATGGGACACCCCGTCCCCTGAGTCCAGCACCACGCCCGTCGTGCGCCCGGACGCGTACAGCGACAGCACCGCCTGGATCGAGGTATACAACGCCGGCACATTGAACGTCTCGAACATGATCTGGGCGGCGACATCGCGGTTCTTGCGCGGGTTGAGCGGCGGCTCCGTCAGGAGCACGGGGTGTTCCTCCGGTAGCGTCTTCAGCTCGTTCTCGTACACGTAGTGCCAGATTTTCTCCATGTCGTCCCAGTCCGTCACGATGCCGTGTTCCAGAGGGTATCGGATCTTGAGCAGCCCGCGCAATTCCTGTGCTCGCTGCCCGATAAACACGTCGCCCTCTAGACCGCCGGCCATCACCCGGGGGTGTTTTGGCCGGCCAACGAACGAGGGGAAGAAACATGAGGGGATCTCTTCTCCGGCGAAACCGGCTCGGATTGTGCCGCTGCCATTGTCGATGACAATGGGGGCGTTGTGGAGGGTTGCCTCGGCCATTTTGTGAGGAGAAGGGTTGTGTTTGGGGAGGAGGTCGGTATGGGGAAGGAGGAGCGAATTGTGGTGACAAAGGCCCTGAGGCCTATTCTTGCTGGGTGTGACACGTAAGACCGGTAGATGTGAAGATTATAACTGGCAGCTTGTGAAGTGAAGTTTACTTCATCAGCGTGGACACTGGCGACTGTATGCAAAATAGATGTTTTTTAGAGGGGGATGTTGAATCCCGCAACTTCGCGCGTCCGCTCATGTCTCCCATCAACAAGGAGCTTGGGCCAGCCGACTATCGCTGCTACAGAGGTACTTCTACTACGATTTGCCGCGACACAAAATTTATCACAAAACACGACGATGGCGGATTCTGAAGGCTTTAAAATCGATATAAATACCTAAACGACCACGACCCAATCTTCATGCACGGTCGTCGACTAAACAAACAAGACACCGGCCTTTCTTCTATCTGACCATACGGCTCGATCGACCAACAACTCAGCTGCCTCGAGGCCCATAGATGAGGCGCAAAAAGCTAGAATCAAATATCCTGAGGTCAAGATCGGAGCAATTCCAACGTTTCGAAGCACCAAGGGTGAAGGAGGAACGGCGACGTGATCGTTCACAGATCAATATGAAAGCAGCCAAGAGGTAGCATAAATCATCATTCATAAGGGGATTTCTTCGGATTCAATCCACAAATCCCATCTCATCAGACATTACTTGCTCCAGTGTCGGCTGGGTTTTCTGGCCAGGGCCACGAACAGGCGGCCACCTTAACATGCGAGCCCGCAGTTGTTCAGCCTGCTGCAGTGCTTGGCAGAGATTCCTGAGAGGTAATCAGCAAAGCCTGAAGCACATGTAGAGGAACCTGAAACCTACTGATAGTGACTAGCAACCACGTATCCTTGTTTCTGTAACTGGCGCGCGAGTTCCTCTTGATGGTTATCCTGAAGAGAAGGATTGGGCACGACGATGAGGGGGATGCCCATCCGTAACGCCTCGAGAATAGTGCCAGATCCTGACAAGCATTCCATGTCAGATACCAGAAGATGCCAGTGATGGGTGACGCCCAAGAAAGATGATCAATACCTGCGTGACTGATAACCAACCCACCACTTCGTCCTTTACTTATGTCTGCCTGAGCCAATGCAAGCTCTCCCTTCAGCCCATGCTCGCGGAAGGCAAAACCACCGACATCTATTCTGTGCCAGGGCCTGCGCCCAGGTGGATACTGCTTGAGGAAATTTTGATAAATCGCTGCGTTTTTGCCGTATTGAACCATTAAATGCGAGTAGCCATCTTTCTCCAGGGCCGTCACAAACGAGGGATCCAGCGCAGCGCGTACAAGCTCTTCGAAGGAGGCAGTTGCGCCGACTGTCACAAAGCACACCTTGACCGCGAGCTTCGATGTCATGACTGCAAACTAAGTTCCCAGGAACTCCGTTTGGCAGGGAACTTGATCGATGCCTTGGCTGGGCTGCAGAAGCATTTCAGCTTCTAAGCTAAATATGCCCTTTGGATAAATATGCAAGTCCGTTATCAACCAACATCAAGGTCAGACAAAGGAGATGATGAATGATTGTTGTCGTACTTCGGGGTGATGCATTGGTATGATGGCAGCAGTGAATGCGCTTATCCTGTTTTGGCTTAGCGTTTCCCTGCGAAGTTCATCCGCAGAAAACATCTCCGACCTGCAAATCCCAGGAGGAAATCGACACCCCCCCACGGCCAATCTTCGCCCGCAATGGCCTTCGTCGCAAGATATCTGGGCCGTACGGCCTTTTCGGTCGCTCGAAGAGGTCCGGCTGCTATTCAATCCCGCCCATTCTCTGTCACACCCTTCAAATTTTTGCCCGAAGATCCGCCAATCACCAAAGAGCCTTCGCCGGAGGATGAATTGCCTGACGTGCCGGAGTATTCACCAGATCTCCTCAGCAAGGAGGAGCGGTCAATGTATGATATGCTATCCCCGGAGGAGCGGGAGGCCTTTGACGCGGAGCAACGCCGGATAATCGAGGAGTTCAAAAACCCGCAAGTGCGAGCGGCCGCATTTGCGGAGATCGAGAAGAGTGTGAGGGACCTGGAGAAGGAAGTAGGGTTGCGATTCGAGGATGTGCCGGACAAGTCCCGGGGCTTCTGGGCCGATGAGGAAGAGGATGAATTCGGCCTTGTCGAGGATGCAGACGACGATTTCCACGACGACGAAATCACCTCTATGGCCCACGCGGAGGTCGAACTGCACCGCGAAATTCGTGAATATGCTCGCATTGCGGCTTGGGACATGCCTTTACTGAGCAGTGAGTTCAGTCTTTCTAAGCGACTATTGTTCAGTGCTAATCTGGCCTCCAATCCCTAGAACTCGCCAAACCATTCACCCTTCCTCCCGAAACTCACATCCTTCGCTTCCGCTACACCACGTATATGGGTGAACAGCATCCAGCCGAGAGCAAGGTGGTCGTCGAATTGGCCAGCAAGGATCTTGTCCCCAAACATCTCTCCGAGGCACAGCGCCAGACCTTCCTTAAACTCGTGGGAACACGCTACAACCCCGATACGGACATCGTACGCATGTCCTGCGAGAAATTCACAACCCGCGCCCAGAACAAGCGATACCTGGGTGACATTATCAACACGCTGATCAAAGAGGCGAAGGAAGGCGACTCCTTCGCTGACATCCCTCTCGACCTCCGCCATCACAAGCCCAAGCCTCAGCTGCGCTTCCCCGAGTCCTGGGCCATGACAGAGCAGCGGAGGAAGCAACTCGCCGCCACACGAAGAGAGAGACAGATCAGCGAGGAAGCACGGCGGGCGGTCGTGGATGGGAACGCCGTCGTTGCACAGGCCGCTCGGTCACTGCCTTCCTTGAATCCCGCCTTGAGCGCCAGAGCCGCCGAGGAGCGGGAGAAGGTTGCTGTCAAGGTTGGAGGCCAGAAGAAGAGAGTACGTTAGACCCGTGATGACAGTGATGTGTTGAACTTGTCTGGTTCATGTATTCGATGGATGTCTTCTTTGCGTGATTTCGAGTTCGAAAATATTAAGGGCGGGCGCACATGTCAAACGGTCGTATAGACTATTACTTACTCAATTGTACAATATTCCATTTCATGAGCCTTTCCCACCTTTTATTCTTGGAAGGTAAGTATACTACGTTTCTGGTGGTTCATGCCTGGACTACGAACGAGGAATCGGGGGAAAAAAAACTTTCAGCAAGTCAAATGCAATCAACCATCATGTGTCATTAAGGATAATTTTTTTGTGTTTTTTTATTTAAAATATACCCCTCAACCGTCGTTATAACAGACGACACGGAAGGACAACGAGAGATCCGCCCAAGTTCAAAAGTCACGAGAACAAAACCCGGCGTGGTCAAAGTCGAATCCAACTTCAACTCATCAACCTCGCGCAGTTTCGTTCAGAACCTCCAAACTAGCAGTTCAATCTCATATCCTTCCTTTGGCCGTAATTAAAATAATCGGCTGAAGACTCAAATCCACCCAACAAAATCAAGAGAGAGAGAGACAACAAGCAAAAGATCAGGAAAAGAAAATGTGAAGATGGAAAGATGTCAAACCGTCGACGAATGTCCACAATCGGTATCCATGCAAACGCTATCAACTTGAATGACCTCCATCTCCATGTTGCCCTCCGCCATCGAGTGGTGGGTATATTTAACTATGGGCGTGTGAGTGAATACTGCACGAGGCAACCAGACCAGCTTGGCGTGTGTCGTAGGGGAAAGTGACGGAAAAGAGAAGAGTGGCCACGGTCCACCTGTTGTCACGCGAGGGTGAAACAGACTGCAAGAGACATTCGTTCAATTGGCGAACCGGGCAAGAATTCTCTCTTATATGGATTACTTGGCACGTCCTCCGCCCATGCCGAAAACGTCGTCGGAGGAGGAGACAGCGGGACGTTTGAGGACGGTAGGGTTCTTATGAGTGAACACGCCGATAGGTGGAAGCAGCGGCTTCAGACGTCCGTCGTCGTCGTCGTCGTCGTTTCTGGTGCGGCTGTTGAGGAAGGCGCGAGGACTGGGCTCGGAGCACGAGAGGCAGGACTCAGTCGACGACGAGCGGTGGTGGTTGGGAGACTCGGAGAACCTGGCGCTTCCATGGATGACGCCGGTCTTGGGGCTCACAAAGAGGGGATCGTCATCGATATCCTTGAGAGCCTCAACAGTATGATTGTAGAGGCGCAAACCCAGGGAGTCAATCTGCTTGGCATCCGAGGCATTGGTCTCCGTACCACCGTTAGGAGCGACAGGATGGTCCTGGAACAGGCGACGAGACTTGGGTTGCACGCGTTTAGTGCGAGGCTGACCTGCGAAGACATCGGTATCGGCGGGCATCATGTTGGTCTTTCCAGGCACAGTGGTGGCTGCGAACATGTCATGCAGACCACGCAAGAACTCATCCCGTTTGGTACGCTCTTTGGGATCGGAGATAATCTGTTGACCAGAACGACTCAGATCGGCGGACCTGTAGTCAGGAAGGGGGTCGAAGGAGAGCAGGTCGATCTTCTTATTGTGCACATTGGTACCACGATTCTGGGGAGCGGAAGTATAACCTGGGCCACCCTGGTTGCGGACGTGTGAGCTAGGAGACTGAAGCTGTGCACCCTGTGCCTGCTTGGAACCGCGAGGGTGAGCGGAACCTCTAGGTGAGTTGCCATTGGTGAAGTTGGGGCGGCCTGGAAGCGCAAGGGAAGCTGGCTGGTGCATGGAGACAGCGCCCTTGTCCTTGTTGCTTCTTTCAGTATCGGAATGCTCAGCAGTTGCACTGATTGCCAAACGAGAGCCCCTCACAGCACCGCGGTCGGAAGCAGCATCATCGAGCAAGCCAGCCAGAGCACGAGACTCGCGGATCTGGTTGCCTCCGCCAGACGAAAGGCTTGGGACATTGTACTTGTCCCGGTACCAACGGGGAATATCGCGCAGACCAAGCTTCTCGAGCATGGAGCGATCGGTGGGCATCTCGTGCTTAAACAGGCAGCCTACATGATTGTTAGTCCACAGCTGTCAATCGCCTGTCGTCATGGACTGGACCATACCTTGCTGCTGATAGTCGCACTCGCCGTGACGGATCCAATAAGAGCAGTATTCCTTTTTCGGACCTCCCTATGCCATAGTCAGTCTTGGTCTTGCTCCTTGTCGTAAACCGAGGAACGACTCACCTGTCTGGGGTTTCCGCCACCGTTTCGATCAGCGTGACCCGCAGCAGCGCCGGCATTAGGAGCAGTACCCATATTAGCGGGCACAATCCAACCGTGGTTGGGAGGCGGGTTAGGCATCACCCAGTTCTGACCATTGCCTTGCGGATACATGGGCTGGATAGCCAGACGCTGCTGGGGACCAACACCGTTTTCATCCGGCATGTATCTGGGCGCAGGGCCTTGATTGTCATACTCCCTAGCACGCTGGCTGGGGACATTGGGGAGATTGACGGGAAATTGGAAACGAGAGAAAGGAAGAGCTCCCTCCACAATATAGAACGAGCAGCGAGGGCTGACGGTACCGAGGCTGGTCATGCCCTGGGTATCACCTGGAGAAAGAACGCGTGGAGCTGAACGAATATTGAGATGGATAGGAAGCTCGTCAACAGCAACAAGAGGAACAAGGGTACCATTAGGTCTGGCACAGAAAAACTGAGGACGCAGAGGGGAAGACATGATGTGGTGGTTCGCTCTCCTGAGCTTGACTTTGACACTCAAAAAGCAAGCCTAGAACTCAGAAGAGCTGAGAGGTTAATCCGAGAGGTGGTTTTGAGATCGCTTAAGAAGATACAACGGGATAAGTGATGCTTTGGAGTGGAATGACGATGAAAAAGCTTTGCAGAGAGTGGGTGTTGAGAGAGAGAAAGAGGGAGGAGAGATGAGGTGAGGATATTTCTCGCGACTATTGCTCAGTGAATAACTCGCGAGATATTTTGGTGTTTTGTGTGCGATGTGAAGCGAGATAGACATTCACTGCTTGAATAGGGCAGAGTCTGAAGCAGCACACCACCTTCTATGTGTTGTGATCACAATGTGGATGAATCTACTAAATCAATGACAGGCAGCGTATATAGCGACTTCAAGAAAACCATCTAAGAGAAGGAAACATCAGCTGTCAGAAAAAAAAAAAAGAGTATATAAGCAGATGGGATGAAGCTATCCCAAAGTCTAGATACAAGACCAAAAAGACTATATTGACCAAGCTTCTAGGAAGAAACAGCGAACAACACTAAAAGAACGAGAGGAAAGAAAGGGGAAACACTTCAGGGAAACACTTCTTTCTTTAGGATTCAAAGGATTCAAAAGAACAAGAAGAAAAAAAAGCTTCAAGCTTAGTCCTTAAAGAAGACAGGGACTGTTTGCCTCCATCCTAGATCGTGTTGGCATCAGTACAACAGCTCAACGGATGGCTGCAGTTTGCTCTCCCACTCGCTTTCTTTGCTTTTTCTTCCCCTTCTCTGGGCCTTCCTCTCAACAGGCCAACGGTTTTCTGGAAGGGTAGAGAAGGGCCTAATTCTTTTTGTGATCGTCCTATTTCAGCATCTCGATCTTCTCCTTGAGTGGCGGGTGCTATGGATCAGCCTGATCGTTCGGAATATAAGGCTGCACCATCCGACTATTGAGGACGTCTTCTACGGACCAGTGGGAGTCCGCCAGCTTACTTTACCGGGCTCGAACCTTGCATGGTAGTTTCCAAGTGGACGCTCTCACGTTGATCTAAAGTGTGTAATAAAGTACATCATGGCATCAAAGTCCTTGTAGAAAAGATTCCATTCCGATTCCCTTGTACGCCATTGATGCAACCGCCCCTATGTAAGAACCACATTCCAGTTCATTCCTATGCCATAGAGAATCAAAGAGCGCAAGAACGACGGAAAAATTAGCACAGATTATCTCCCTGATGTCGAAAATCTTTGTCCGGGTTGACTCGGCCCTGACGACGTTGTATAGCCTGTCGGGTAACCGGTCAACTCGATAACGGGAGATCCAGTAGGACCGGTGCTGGTTGTACCAGGGACTCCATTACTGGCTGGGCTCGCTGCAGCCCTACTGGCCAAAATCCTTCGACGCTGTGCAAGAGAGCCGCGAATTCCTTGCAGGTATTTCTTGGCTTTCTCGATAAGCTCGCGATCCTCAGTGCTGTGCTTCAGAGCGTCTAACATCCTTGCCACTTGCGTCTCAGACCGAAGGTGGGGACAAGTGCGCGCAATTCCATAATGCGCAAGCCCGCATAGACCACAATGTTCAACGCCGGCCTGCTTCAAGCGGCAGGAGCCCACCGGATGATGCTTGGTGCAGATGAAGCAGGGCGGGTGACGTGCCTCCACCTTGCCGTCCATGCCCGTTGCGCCGCATGCAGGGACTTCATCCTCTTCGGTAGTGATACGCTTGAAGGGACGCACTGTACGGAGTAGCCTGGTTAGTACCGAGAAATCAGGACTCAGGCGGGAGACTGCGTTACCTTTGACCTTCTTGGCGGGCCGTTCCATCTCGTCAGAATCCATCCCAGGGTCATTGTCAGATTCCAATTCTATGGCCTCGTCCGCCTTGTATTCATCGTCACTATCGGCCTCGCGGCGAATCTTCATGGGTGACACTTCCGTCGCGTCTTTTCCGTAGTCTACTGCTGCCCGCTTTCGTTTGCCGCGGCCCAGTGTCTCTGCCTTTTTCCTGGCCTCTTCTGCCGCCGCTTGCTCACGCTCCTGCAAAATCTTCTCCCATATCGTATTCCTGATTGCGGGATCTTCATCTTTATCGTCAGTGTCCTGAAGTTGGCCGTCCAGATTCTGGTTGTCATTCGCCCAGACCCTGGCGAAGCTGAACTGAGACCCCGGCGCACTTTCGTCAGGTGTCTTTGCTTGTTCTTCCTGACTACGATCGAGGAGTTTGTCAACAGATTCCGAATCGTACTGAACGTCTCCTGAGTCATCATCATCAAACAGTGCTTGTGCTCCGTGACGCAATATAGATTCCAAATCCCGCCCATCATCCTCCTCTGCGACCATCCGGTCAATGAGAACATGGTCTAGGACCATCTTCTTCTTGCCAATTTGCATGATTTTCTCCTCGACACTCCCGCGAGTCATAAGCTGGAAGACAAGCACTTTATTCTTCTGACCGATGCGGTGAGCGCGAGAAAGCGCCTGCATGTCCTGATGAGGGTTGAAGTCTGGATCCATAATGATAACAGTGTCTGCCGTGGCGAGATTAATTCCCACACCACCGGACCTGGTGGATAGAAGGAATGCGAAATATGGTGAGTTATCAGCATTGAATTCATCAATACGTTTCTGCTTCTCTAACGAAGACACTCGCCCGTCCAGGCGGCGATGCAGAAGGCCGAGGCCGTCCAGAAAATCTTCAACAATATCCAGATTATCAAGGAACTGGCTGAAAATTAAAACTCTGTGGCCTCGCTGCTGAAGCTTAGGAAGCATAATCTCAAGCAGCTTAAGCTTTCCTGATGCCTCAACCAGGTGCTTGTGCGATGCAGCAGCATTAGTAGTGCGTTCCTCAATTGCTTCACTGTAAACAAAAGGATGGCATAAGCATTTTCGAAGCTGCATGAGGATATTGTTCAAATTATGGCGATCTGCCTGCTTAACGCCTTCAGAGCCATTGCTCCTCTGAAAAATGGCCTTTATGAGCTGTGGATTTTTTGCCAAAATAGACTTGTACAGCTTCTTCTGAACGACGGACATGGAGACAGGCACAATGATTTGAACCATGGGAGGAAGAAAGGTGAGGACTTGCGCTTTTGTCCGTCGCAGGAAAAATGGACGAATCATATTGTGCAGTTCAGGAATGTTCTCTTTTGAGAGTGTGCCGTACTCTTCATCTAATTTTGCAGCTTCCTTGGTTGGATCACAGAACTGAAGCAAATTGAAGAGCTCCCGCGTGTTGTTCTGGAGCGGTGTACCAGTGAGGAGTAGCTTAAAAGGGAATTTGAATCGCGACAGAGATTCGTATATCTGGCTTTTATCGTTCTTCAAGCGCTGCCCTTCGTCGACTACCAGACCTGCCCACGGTATTTTCATGAGAACCCGTCGAGACGCGTCATCAATCATAGTCTCGTAGGATGTGACTACAACGTGACATCGAAGATCAGGCTCATCCTGAGAAAACATCTCATGCTCCTGGGCCAACTTGCGGGCGAATGCCGAACCGTAATATGTGGCGACGCGAATGGAGGGAACCCATGACTTGATCTCCTTGCGCCAATTTGGACAGGTCGAATTCGGCACAACAACAAGGAAGGGCCAGCACTTATGATACTGGATGAGAGTCGCGAAAAGACCAATAACCTGAATAGTCTTTCCGAGTCCCATTTCGTCAGCAAGGATGCCATTTTGTTGCTTGAACCACATGTAGTATAGCCAATTCACCCCATCTTTCTGGTAGTCCATTAGCTGCCCTCCGGTCATCGTCTCAGGCTGAGTTTCTCTGACAATTTGAGTCTTGAAATTTTGCTTCCGAATGTGAGCAAGATGCTTCTGGAGTGCACCTGGCTCCGGCGTATGGATGTAATCACGTCTAACCCAGTCCTCGTAGGCAGCTTTGAAATCATTCCATCGCTCAGTTTGGCTAGGATCAGGAGGGGAGTCCCACTCTGCATCCTCATAGGGTAGGCCTTTGAATTTCACGTAAGCCCTGGTCACCTTGTGTATCCTCTCAAGGTCTGACTCAAGGCTTCGCTCTTCCACTTCTTCAGAATAATACACTTGAAAGACAATGTCGACGCGCAGGAAATCTTCAGGGATCGCCTCCTCTATCGTCATACGCGGTTTCAAATTCTTCTCTGATCTGAAGAAAGCTCTTCGCATAGCAGGACTAACAATTCCCCAGACCCAGCTGCCGGGCATCCATGATGTATGGTGGTAGGAGTACCCCTTCCATTTAATGAGATATTCCTTATCCGCTTCCTCCATCACGTGGGCAGTGTTGACGTTATTTCTGGTGTCTGCTGGTCGCCATGCAACTAAAGCACCGATCTCGCAGGGAACTGACGAGCAATCATGGCACTTCCAGGTGAAGGAGTATTCTTCAAAGCGGGCCGTTGCAGGAACATCGGTCGTGTCGGAAATTGGAGGTAGATGTTCAAAGTGAAAGGCTCTGTGGCAAGCTGTACATCGGAATAGCACATTGTCGACATTGTTGACAGTAGTCATGTCCACAGGGGTAATTGGATCTTTCCCACCATTCTCCTGGCGAATCTGCTGTTCTTGCTTTGGTGTCAAGCGTTCCCGGAGAGGCTTCGACATCTTGCCTTGATCTTTACATTCGATACAACGGCCTTGATGTGGTGATATGGGGTCCTTTGCATGGGAGAGTCCTATGCAGCGACGACATTGGAGAACAAACTGTTCTTCGGCCACTTTGGTAACAAGATGATCACGATTCGATCTGGGACCTAGGCAGACTTGGTGATAGGCACTAGTACAGCCCTGGCAGAAAACAAGAGGGCCTCTAGTGTCATCATCGCCTTCAATTCCACAAACCTCACAGGTGCCATGATGACGAAGGCGGAACGCATCGTCTGAAGGAATCTTCTGAAAAGTTTCCTTGGCCCCGAAAAATTTCTTTTCTCTTGAAGACTCATCAATCTCGGAGATATCGTCTTCCATTCTTTCACGCAGATTCCGCCGCAAGGTCTTCCGCTGACGAGTAGAGAAGCG